GTATGTATGTATTCGTGTATGTATATGTATACCCACATTTGAAAACGGCTAAATTCACCTCAATATTTGCAGCCCTCTATTCACCTCACACGCATGTTTGTGCTGCAATACCAAGAGACAGGTGGGCGAGTATTTGGTGCGTACATCACCGAGCCACTCACCAAACGTCACTCGACCAGAGGCTATTTTGGGAGCGGAGAATCATTCGTATTCTCACTCGATCCACATTCCCAGAAATTCGACTGGGTAGGCACTGAGAAAATGCGAGTCCGTGCGCTGGCCCTGGCAAAGGTACTCAATACAATAAAGTGTGTTTCATTTTGTTCATTTATAACGTGGTAAGCCTAAACTTATCGCTTGAACAGGCATACATATACGTTGTGTTAGGTTCACCCACAAACTATGTCAGCATGAATATGTGCTCATTTGGTTTTGAATATAAACGACATGCACCCTACATCACCTACTGACACACAGGGCGAGTTCGTCTCGGATGATGGTGACGACATCAACAAAGCCCACTCGTTCTTCACTCAGGCCAACAACGACATGATCATGATCGGGGGCGGTGACAGGTATGTCTGGTGACCTATTTTTTTTTATATTTGATTTTGAAGGCTTATAACCCCAAGTATGGTCACATGCAGGTGATTTACATGCTAGTGGGGGACTATCGTCACTTAAAATAGCAAACGATGTGCCCACCACCAATAGTTCAATATCTATAACCCAAGTATGGTCACATGCTTGTGATTTACTTGCTAGTAGGCTATCGTCACTCAATATAACAAACGATGTGCTCATTCCCAATAGTTCATTTTCTATAACCCAAGTATAGTCGCATGCGGATTTCAGTCATTCATGCTAGTATACGATCTTTCCCTCGACATAACAAAATATGTGCAAGTCTTCAACAGTGTCCAACACCTGTTTCAATAGCATTGGTCGTGTAACTTCATTAGGTAGACGTGTTCATTGGGGTTTTTCCTAATACAGTGGACACGCCATCTTAATCAACTCCGATCTGAGCGAAGGGTCGACAAACAAAAATGCGACTTACACGAATCCACCTTTTGTCGAGCAAGGTGGGTCTACAGAAATAGGAGAATGTTTGGATATTTATATTTGATGTGATATATATATATATATATTTATATATATATATATAATACATATATTCATACATACATATATTTAAATATACACACACATATATATATATATATGTATTTATGTATTATATATATATATATATATATATGTGTGTGTGTGTGTGTGTGTGTGTATGTTTAAATCCACGGCTATATGCGCAAGCTTATATATCCGTCCTTTCACCGTGCCTACACACAATAAACATATACAAGAAGACATGATTCACATTAGAACGTTTATACAAGTGTTTCTCAACTTATACTTCGATACCCTCTCTCATCTGGACAGTACAATTCCACATTGCCGATGTGGAGGTGTGGTGTCTGGCCTCAGATGTGGGGACTATAATGCAACACGCCGGTGAGCACACACCTGTCTACAACCATGGCAGTTGAAATAAACCACAGTATCAAAGTTCAACACACGCACGAGCGTGGTTTGGTTTTATTCTATATGGTTAGTTCACTAGCTTCAATCGAGATACCCGCAGATAACACCACCTAAACGGCCTTGATAAATCAGTGCGAGTATCCCGGGCGATAAGAATGAACCTGATTATCATACTGACTGTTTGCAAGCCCCAAATTCAATTGGGCCTGCCCACGATGAACTGCGCGCTTTGAGAGGTGCCCCCTCCTAATGATGTTCCAGCCACTTTCAGAACTAGAATGCCCGTACAGTATTCGAGGTTCTCCCTATACACGAGACTAGTATCCACAGTACAACCAACGAAGAGTGCCTAAAAACGGCAAATGAACGCCACTCCAGCCTGGCACACACTCGACATATTCAAAATAAACGAGTCCGAAATCATATTTACTATGTTTTGAACGCACATTCGAGTTTTCTGGGACGCTCTTCTACGTGAAGCCATTTAAAATATTATTAATCCCATCTGAATCGATGCTGTCACTTTCCGATCGAATCTACAACTCTGGTACGTGCTTCAGTGTGATTGTGAGATGTGGACTACAGTCGCGGCATCACTCCCCCTTCATCGATGTCCGGGTGGCCTGTTGTAGGGTCTATAAAATCTATACGAGCCTTAGATTTGAATGATGCACACCCCGAATTCCGGATCGATACGCGCCTGAGCAGCCCTCCCCGATTTCTTCGTTCTCACCAGCTTAGCACCACGAGGCACCGTCATAACGTTGTTTTGACTTCTTTATACATCCGCAACCACCCTTGCCGCCAGCAAGGTAACTGGCTCCAATGGTCTCCGCTGGGCCTAAGTCTTCCGTCCACACACGACGTCCCCACTATGGGTGTCTTGTACTATACGTATTGGGCCATATAGAATTCTGCCCCAGGTCCTGTGCGTCCTTAACCGTCCACAGCCTAATAATCTCGCTTCACAGCCCATCCGAGACACTTCCCGTGAGGTGCCTCGTGCCCTCAAAGCAAAGGACTCCCTGAAAGTAGCTTCAGACATTTCTGCTATAACGCCGTGGTAAATACCAAGCCCAAGCGGTTGTGAATGAGTGTACGTAGGTGTATATAGGTGTACCTGGCTAAGCTAAGAAACTTCTTTAATCTTCCAGTGTGGGCGCTATGATGCGGCCCATCACAGCGAGCGTCTTCCACTAGCCTGGTCGATCACAAGATGCGCACTCCAGTCAAAGGGGAGGAGATACACAAACAGATGAAGCACAGGCAAAGACACGGGCACAGGCACGGATAAGATGATACCACCGACTAACAAGTCATTGTCCGACTACTACTGAGGGTTTACAACCCAGTGCAATCTAGACACGGCACGAACTGGTCCAAGAAAGGCTCAATCATTTGCATGATTTGGATTGGCTACCTGGTCAGCACAGAATTACGGCGCAGATTGCGCCTGTGCATTTGGCTCTTGCAAACGAAGTGGATATTCTCTACCAATCGGAGCAGCGGAAACTTCCGTGCCGTGAGCTGAGCTTTTTTACGTTGAGTGCTCGTACAATCCAAAGGTGGCCATTAAATTTTTAACTGAACTGGCAGAATAAGCGTATGCAAGACAGGCTCAGACTATTCAGCAAATGGCATCAATCATGCATCAACTCGTGGTATAAAGATCAGATATAGCCATCCGCCCCTGTCACAGTCATAATGAGACTTCATGTACCTGCTTCGCAATGAATCGGTTGCCCGAAGTCCTTCAACAGGTGTTCAATCACCTGTACGGTGAGCACAGTACTCACACTCACCGGTTTAACAAGGAACAGTTGCTATCAGGCGTTAGACCACCAGTCCGACTATATGGGCGGCATATACAAACTGTTCAGTCGTCCGTGCGGAATAGGGCCCAGACACGGGCTATCTCGCAGTGGGTATTGGGATAGAGCGTTGTCCCATGTATAAGGAGAAGGCCGACAAAGACTCTTCGAATAAGTGTCCAGACATGTGGGCCATAGGCAGTGGTTGCTTGAGATTACATCTCACTTGGGATTTACAGTCAAAACTTCCGTCCATTAAGAAATGCGGCACAGAGTCCTTTCAAGCTGTCATTTCGGACACTCGCGCGACCGGTATTGACATGGGACAAACATCATCTCGCACTGCAGAGTGGATTGCCGAGGAAACACCTCGTATTCGCTTAGACCAACCACGTCCAGCGAAAGCTGCGCAGACCCCCACAAGGCAATGAGGATCCCGCCAAGCCCCATTATATGTCGCTTCAAAATGCTAAACTCGTCACACCATCAGAACGGCGGTACAAACTCTTCCAACGAATGTTCGGACACCTGCACAATGGGAAAGTGGCTCCGGACGCGCACCTGCTCGTGCTGCGGGTCTGTGGCCAAAAGATCCATGTACTGCTGCAGCTGCAGCGCTTCTGCTTCGTGTCTCTGGCGATTATAGAGAACTCTCTGTGGTGTGTGTGTGTATTGTATGTTAGATATGGCATGTGCAATATATATATATATATATAGGTGTCTTACGTGATCAGGTGTGTCGTATATGCTGCTACTATACGACCGGTACACAATACCGTACTAGGCGTTGTGAATCACCTTCAATTGTAGTGACAGTATACCACGGACAATTTGAGAGTGTACAAAAACTCTCTGAAGCCTTCTCACATTTGTAAGAAAGTTCGGTACTGCATACTGCACCTAAGATTGTCCCACAAGCTAGATAGGCTGGCACGCTGGTACCTAAGGTAGACAATATATTCCAACATATACCATCGTTTTTCAACCCTCTATGCATTTATTTCATGTATGTATACGCATGCGCACCTTTAGCAGGAAGAGCGAGCATACGCCGAATGAACTGCAGGAGGGTAATCGCACGTGCCCTGTCTTGTATACAACCTATATCAGAAAGCGAACAAGCGCATAGACGTAATCGTTAAGTAACATGTACCGTTACACTGCCAACTGCCAGTGTGAATTGTTGCTTCAATTCCACCTACATTTTCGAGGAGAAGCTGCTTAACGATCTCGGAATTGCCAGGCACGTCATCTTTTTCACGATTGATCAATGTCTGTATTCCAATAAACCACAAGAAAATGTTAGTCTGCATCTGCTTTTCGGTAGCAATCAACGTCAATACTAGAACTCAATTTTTAACCTAGTTCCACCTAGCCAGTACTTGGATTTATCAACAAAACTTTGATCAGTACTATTGTCTGATGTGAAAGATATTACACATTCATGATACAGAAATTAGTCAATTCGTCAAAAAAAGAAAGCTTCGCCGAGACTGGGTACAAACTTACAATAAAACCTAACACGCAATTAAATAGAGTGCATATGAGGTCATACGAGACAGATGAAATAGACATCATGCATCCCAATATTTCTCCATACTTAAGTGATGAGATGTATGAAGCAAGAGTTTAAGTCAATCTACAAAGAGTGAAAGACATTCATATTTATATATATATATATATATGATTATATAAATATATAAACATACATACAAATATATATATATATATATATATATATATATATATATATATATATATATATATATATATATATACTACTACTAACAACAACAACAC